GTTTTAATTGAGCATTTAAAATATTTTTATTAATTTCAGAGAAGAAGGGAGAGGGAGAGTCAGAAACATCAATGATGAAAGAGAATAATTTTTCAGCTGCTCCTGCACATCTCCTACTAGGGATCGAGCCCATAGTTCATGTGCCCTTAACTGGAATCGAATTCAGGACCCTTCAGTCCACAGGCTGATGCTCTATCCACTGAACCAAACCAGCTAGGGCTAATTGAGCATTTTGTATAATTCTATTTTTTATACTATCTTAGCATATTAATTATATTTCTTTTTGTAAAACTTTTTTTAGTGGTTGTCCTAGTGTTTGCAGTATACATTTACAACCAATCCAAGTCTTCTTTCAAATAACACAGCATTATTTCATAGATAATGCAAGTGCCATATAATGTAATATTCTCACTTCCTTTTTCCTGTCTTTTATAACATCACTCTTTCATTTACTTAAATGTAAGGTATCATCACTGAATGCATTGTTACCATTATTATTTTGAACAAACTATTATCTGTTAGATCAATTAAAATAGGAAAAAATAATTAAATGTTAACTAGAGTTATGGTGATTATTTTACAACATATACAAATATCAAATCATTGCATTGTAGACCTCAAACTAACATAATTTTATATGTCAACTATACCTCAATTAAAAAAAAAGCAGATGGGAAAAAAAGAATAATCAAAATATTTTACCTTCATATATTGCTTCTCTAGTACACTTCCTTTATGTAGATCTGAGTTTCTGACCTGTATACTTTTACTTTTAAAAAATATATTTTATTGATTTTTTACAGAGAGGAAGGGAGAGGGATAGAAAGTTAGAAACATTGCTGAAAGAGAAACATCGATCAGCTGCCTCTTGCACACCCCCCACTGGGGATGTGCCCCCAACCAAGATACATGCCCTTGATCGGAATCGAACCTGGGACCCTTCAGTCCGCAGGCTGACGCTCTATCCACTGAGCCAAACCAGTTTCGACTAATTTTACTTTTCTTTTGAAGAATTTCTTTTAACATTATCCGCCAGACAGGTGTACTGACAGCAAATTCTCTTAATTTTTTTTTCTGATAAAATTCTTTAATTCTCATTCTGCTTTGAGGGATTGTTTCTTAGGACCCAGAAGTTTTGATTGGTGGTTCTTTTTTTGTTTGTTTGTTTGTTTGTTTGTTTTAAAATATATTTTATTGATTTTTCACAGGAGGAAGGGAGAGAGATAGAGAGCTAGGAACGTCAATGAGAGAGAAACATGGATCAGCTGCCTCTTGCACACCCCCTACTGGGGATGTGCCCGCAACCAGGATGTGCCTGCAACCAATGTACATGCCCTTGACTGCAGACCGATGCTCTACCGCTGAGCCAAACCGGTTTTGGCTGATTGGTGGTTCTTTTTAACCCTTCATATATTTCATTCTTCACTTATCTAGATTGCATTATTTCTGAAGAGAAATCTGATATAATTCTTATCCTGTTCCTCTATAGGCAAAGTGTTATTTTCTTCTGGATACTTTCAACGTTTTTTTCTTTGATCTTGTGGTTTCGATATCTTGTGCCTAGTTGTAGATTAAAAAAAAAATTAACCTTCTTAGTATTCTCTGAGCTTTCTGGCCCTGTAGCTTGGTATCTATTATTAATTTTAAAAACTTCTCAGTCATTATTGCTTCAAATACAGTTATGTGCCACATAACAACATTCCCATCAATGGCAGACCACATACAATGATGGTCCCATAAGATGAAAATAGAGCTGAATATCCTGTAAGAATTGGAGGATGTATGGTTCAGAAGGAATTTTTTTTCTGTGGTGTGAGCAATATCTGTGGTGCTTGGCAATATATCCCTTTTCATTTACAGCACCTCAATTTTGAGTATATAGAATATATTTCAATCAGCCAGGCACTGACCTGTTTCATTACAGAGGAGCCTGCCATATTCAGAGGTGCAATAGTCCTTCCAATCTTGCTTAATGCTCTTTAGAGTACATTGTTGTAAATCCTACATGTACAGAGGTCCACAAGATCTATTTTTAACAACTCTTAAGGGCCATTGCCACTTAAGTAAAAACTTTCTGTGTTAGGGTGGAGTCAGCCTGTCCCTGTACTCTTTTAATATTTTCAGGTTGTAATGCTGTAAAACATAGAATTTCTTCTCTCAGGTAAATGCCAGAGAGAGCTCTTTGTACCAGATACTCAACGGAACAAAAAACAAATTTCTAGAATAAAAATATTGAGGCCTCAGTTCTACATCCTTCATGTTAAATACCCTAATTTTTCATGAATAATATAAAATTCCTAATTCTGACCCCCTGCTCCAGCATGTGATAGCTCAAAACATAATGCTATGACAATCTGCTATGTTCCTTTACTTTTCCATCTTGATTTCATATTCCTACTGACCCTCAGACCACCTTTCATTCCCTCCTGACAGTCACTATTATGGCGATCTACACTTTACCCAATCAGTTTCTCCTTAATATTCCCAATCAATCCAGCCCACATCTCTGTTCATGGAGCAACACCGACAGCTTCAATGTTCTATTTATGACCCTATAGTATCCAGTAATGTCCTAAGGCCTTCACATTCACTCACCATTCACTCACTGACTCACCCAGAGCAACTTCCAGTCCTCAAATTGCCTGCTGCATATGCCCCAAGCCAGGCCAGGGGTCAAACCTGCAACCCAGATATGTGCCCACGACCCTTTGTTGCGCAGTCCAACACTGTAACCACTGAGCACACCAACCATGTTCTTGTCTAGGGATTTCTCTTGTTCTTTCATTTGTGGCATATTTCTTTGTCTCCCCATTTTGTCTGCCTTTTTCTTTTTGACTCTGTATATTAGGTAGATCTGTTATGGCTCGCAGGCTTGTCATGAGGGCTTTCTGATGTAGGTGCCTTGTGGGTCTCAGTGGCATAATCTTCTAAATCACCTGAGCTAAGTGCTCCAGAAATGTTTCTTGTGTGGGTTATGTGCCCCCTATTGTTGTAGTTGAGTCTTGAATAGGGTTGGTCCATTCATGGGTAGAGTTAATCTTCAGACTAGTTGAATATAATGATAGACATAGTTCACTGTGTATGAGTTGCTATTCAAAAAGACTGCCCCCCCCCTCCTGCCCAAGGCAGAGTTGTTCCCCTTTGGTTGTGTCATTAGTGTGGCTAGTTGGGTTGAGCTCTGGTGAGGTTTGAAGCACACCACTAATTGTGTTGGTTCTGGGCCCACTTGGATGGGGCTTTGGTGCAGGTCAGTGTCAGAAGATATGTGTAACTGGCCTTGGGCTATCTGTCTGGACCACTGTGCTATTCACTGATTGTGACTGTCTACTGGGCCTGGATGTATGTGGGAAGCCAAGCTGTGTACAAGGGTCAGTTTCCGGTAGCTCTGAGCAGAGCACAGTTCAAGAAAATGTCCAAGGCTCTCTGAGGTTGGCATCTACCTGTTGACTACTCCACTACCTCTTGAGGTTGTCTGGACTTCCTCCAGAGCCTTTTGAAGAAAGACTGTAGAGTGGGCCCAAGCTGGCATGCCTACTGTCCCTTCCAGTTGACATAAGCTCAGTTGGGTGGGGTGACTGGGTCAGGAGGACACTGGTAGTGGGTCCCCTTCTTAGTGGTGGCATGACCAGGCAATCAATAGGGAGATGTGGCCCCTACTCCAGAACCATACTATTGTAAGCGAGAATGGCAACAGGTGTCTGACTAATGGGTTCAATAACCTTGGTACTTGGGTTCTGGCAAAGAAATAATTCAAAGTCCAGGCCTAAGCTGTAATTTATTGGGTAAATTACAGAGGTAGAAAAAGTAATTCCTAGAATAAATGGGTTTAGCAAACAAGTTCTAGAGCTAAAGAAAGGGCCCTTGGAGCTTGAGAGCGAGGAATCTAATGGTTATGTGCCTGGGGAGGGGGAGAGGGGAAAGGAAAAGGAAATAGAGAGGGAAGGGAAAGGCAGGATCATGCTCCTGGGAGAGAGAGCACACTGGGTCTTCCATTCTAAGGGTTTTAATGGCAGAGATCTTAATAAAATATTCAGAAGTTTTCCAAGTGTGTCCATTCAGGGTTGTGGTCTCCACTGATTGATTGGCCAGCACCAGGGTAGGGGGTCATTATTCCATGCAGCTGGTCCTGATACCAACCCTGGCTGATTTTGTTGCGCATTTGGGCCTGGAGCTGAAATACAACTGAGGCCTAGATGCCATCTCTAAGGAGGAAAGGTCAGGGGGTCCAAACCTCAGGACCAGGGATCTGCTAGGGGAAGAAATGTCACCCTGAGGGTGAGGTCCCACCCTGCAATTGATTGTCCATTGCTAGGCATCTGGGGCTTTCTCTTGCTCAGCCTAACTGCCTACAGCAATACCATTCATTGTCTGCTAGATTCTCTAACTCTACCACCACCGGTTCAACTGCAGGAGCAAGGTCAGCAGGGTGAAACAAGATCAGCAGGGTGGGGCCACCAGGATTTGGGAAAACAGATCACAATAATCTTATGTTAGCCCGGCTGCCACGGCTCAGTGGTTGAGCATTAACCTATGAACCAGGAGGTCACAGTTTGATTCCCAGTTAGGGCACATGCCTGGTTTCAGGCTCAATTCCCAGCGTGGGGTATGCGGAAGGCAGCTGATCAATGATTCTCTCTCATCATTGATGCTTCTCTCTCTCCCTCTCCCTTCCTCTCTTAAATCAATAATAATCTTATGTTGGGGGTGGCACCAGTAAAGCCCATAGAAGAGGAGAGAGAGCTTTATGCCTGCCCTTCACTGTGTGGCCGCACCCACTGGAGCCTGGACTAGAGCCTCTGAGGGAGACAAGCTCTTTGAGGCCCTTTCTTCCCTTGAGGAACTGAGCTCAGTAGGGCAGGGCCACCAGGACTTCTGAAGAGAGATCAAGACAGTCTTCCATTGGGTGTGGTGCTGCCTGAGGCTGCAGGTGGTGGGGAAGATTGGCCCCAGTTCCAAAGCCTTATAGTTCAGTGTCTGTCTGTATTTCCCTGTTTCTCCAGAGAAAGAGCACACCAAACGTCCCTGTTGGGTGCAGCCAACAGTCCTTTCTTCTGGACTCAAGCTTGGCAGGCTGGTGTTGCCAGTATTTGGAGGACCCAGTTAGTGCACTCCCTAGGCTGCTGGTGAAAATAGTTATAAATCTTGATGTTGTTTTTGTTATGCCTAACAGACCCCTGTCCTTGAACCTCATGACACTTCTCTAGCCATCTCATTTATCAGTCCCTGGAAAACTTTTATAGCAGGGTGTTGGCATATTTGAGAAATCTCTGAGATAAAACTAAAGAAAAGCTGATCTGCTAAGAGAAGATAGCATATTATTGTTTTAATTTATCTGAATTTTGCAGCCCCTTTTTTCTTTAACAAATTATCTACTACTAGAATCCTGGTGCATGAAATCACCTGCATTGAAACTGGAAGTAGCAACCTGGCCTCCCAGCCCTTTCCTTTTTTTCTCCTTTCCAGCCCACTGCTGCCACACTTACCTCTTTTTAAAAAAATATATATTTTATTTATATTTTACAGAGAGGAAGAGAGAGGGATAGAGAGTTAGAAACATCGACGAGAGAATAATTGATCAGCTGCCTCCTGCACACCCCCTACCGGGGATGAGCCCACAACCAAGGCACATGCCCTTGACCGGAATCGAACCCAGGACCTTTCAGTCCACAGGCTGACACTCTATCCACTGAGCCAAACCGGTTTTGGCCACACTTACATCTTAAAATTATGTGTTTATCATGTTACTTCTCAAAAAGCACAGTGATTCCATTGGTTTCCCAGGTCCTTCATGATCAATCTGCATCCATTTGTTCAAAGATACCTACCCTTCCTCTAATCAAGCACAAATGCCAGCCTCATTCTCATCTTAAGTCTTTGGCCATTTTTCCCCCCTTGGGCCTAGAATACCCTCTCTCCTCTCAGAAGCCCTCTCTAGCTTACAGTCTCTTCTCCATGTTCTGAATGTAGATTGCATATTTATTCTAAAAGTTTAATACTTAGCTGTTGTGTAATTGCATTATGTAGTTTTCTCCTCAACTAGATCATAACTTCCTTGAGAGTAGTGACAAAGGTAACAAATATTTTTTGTATCCCCAATTCCCTACCTTCATAGTAACAGGCATAGCTATTTTAAGTGTCAGCCATGTACCGTACATTTGTTGATTAGCGGTTAACCCTTCCTCTCTGACTGGAATCCTCCTCAATAAGCATTTATTGGACATGTAATCTGGAACACTAAAGTTGCTGTAACAACGGAAATGAGAAGGATATGGTGTATGTACGTAATCACAAGACTCAGTGGAAGAGATTATGCAATCAACGTAGATGTGTGAACAAAGTGGGTGTTGAAGGAAAGGCCTGTTTGCACTGGTCCTAGATGGACTGAATGGAGTTTTAGGAGGCCGAAAAGAAGATAGGAGACTGGATGAAATTCCTGATAGAGTATGTGGCCTAAGCAAAGTCAAGGAGGCATAAAAGTACATGGCCTATGAGGAGTATAACAAATTTGTAGTAGGAGGTAAAAGTCTATCCGGGTAGATGGGATTTATATTTGATTGGCCCTGAATGCCATGATAAACAATTTAAACTTGACCCTACAGGCAATGGGGAACCAGCTTATGATTTCAAGCAAGAAAGTGACAAAAGGTACTGAAAGTGCCTTGGAGCTGAAAGTGTCAGCTATGTAACACATCCACCAAAACAGCTTTTTTTTTTTTTTTTTTTTTTTTACTGTTTTTTTCCCCCAGGCCTCCATTATATGACAAACCCTATTTGTAATCCACCAGTTGGGATAATAAATCAAATTTTTTTTTTACTATGTTCTTGGCCTACTGTAAAATCTGGCTGACCCCAGGCTTGTGGCCATCTACAGGTTTGATTTATTCCAGATGTGCCATTTCTCCAAACTCCAAATTGTCATGGAAAGAGCACTGGACTTAGAGTTCAACTAGATCTGATTTCAAATCTCAGCTTTAATGAAATTTAAATTATTTTCTTATTTTTCTGATCATTTAACTTTTTCTCTTGAAGCTCTTAATATCTTCAAAATAAAACCAAAGGCTGGCCCCTGGCTGAATTGACTCAGTGGATAGAGCATTGGCCTGTGGACTGAAGGGTCCCAGATTTGATTCTGGCCAAGGGCACATGCCTGGGTTGTGGGTTCGATCCCTGGTGGGTGGCATGCAGGAGTCAACTGATGAATGATTCTCACTTATCATTGATGTTTCTATCTCTCTCCCTCTCCCTTCCTCTCTGAAATCAATAAGAATATATTTTAAAAAAACCCCTCAAAGAATGAATTATCAATGGGCAAATATCACTTTGAGTTTTACTGATTGTATTTATTTCCTTTGTTGAACTCCCATTTATAACATCTGTTTTGCTTGATTTACTTGCTTCTAATTTTCTTTTGTTGACTTTATTTCTATATACTTAGTATTAAGGAAGCACTTTATAACCCAAACAGTGATCCAGATAGCTGCTCCAGGAAATGTTTGGAATGAGGCAGCTCAATTTAGCTGAATTGTTCTGTGTCAGTGGGTTACAGGAAAGAGTGTGAAAGGTCCCTATGGGGAAACTGGTGAGTTTTCCAGCTTCCCCTTCGTTGAATTTTCATCTTGTGTCATCATTATTTTGTTTTAATGAATTCCCAGAACAATAGTCATCTGAAAATATGACTATAGAACATGTCCAACAACCAAACATAAATTATTTTTGGATTCCCCATACATTTTCTTTCTATGATTTGTGAGGCTCATGTAGAGTTGCTAGAACTGTGTATTTTAAATATTTCCTGAGTGAGACATTTAAACAGTGGAGAGAAAGGGAAAGGATTCTGCATTATTTTTCAAATTGTTTTCTGCGAGTGCCCCACATTGGGCTGCCAGTTGCGAGTGTTACCACCACGTCCCGCATGGTTCGGGGTTCAGGTTCAGGGTTCGGGCTCTGGAGGAGGCCGCACACAAATGAAAGAGACTAGACAAGGAAATATTAATTTGGGAATTAGGGGCCAGGTGGAAGCCCAAGAGAGGACTCTGCTCTGGCCTTGCGATTCCTTTTTATTCAGATTTGGGATCCACCTATGGCCCTTAGGCAAGCAATTCCAGTAATAGCTCCATGATAGCAAGGACTACCAGGTGGGCCAAGACCAGTTGGCTCAGTGGCTTTCGGTCTGCTGACTGAAAGGTCCCAGGTTCGATTCCAGTCAACAGCATGTACCTTGGTTGCAAGCACATCCCCGGTAGGGGATGTGTAGGAGGTAGCTGGTGGATGTTTCTCTCTCATCAATGTTTCTAGCTCTCTATCCCTCTCCCTTCTTCTCTGTAAAAAAATCAATAAAACATATATTTTTTAAAAAGACTACAAGGTGGAAGTTGCTTTACCTCCCTTTGTCTCCACCAGACAGTGGGTGTATGGCTCTGATCCTTGCCAGAGCCTCAAGGTTGACCAGCCTTCTGGGTTCCTTGTCCACCCCTTTCTGTTGGTGAAGGCAATGGGCAGCTTCCAACAGTTTTCCTTTCTTTCAGTGCTAATTACTATATGGAATTCATGGGCATTTAATAAATTTAAAAATATGAAAATCTCCTGAGGTATGCTACCCTGTTAGACTTGTATTTTTATCAGCTAAAATGGTGCTTGTTTTCAGCTAAGATTTTAGAAACCTGGAATACCTATTCCTGACATTAAGTGCTTTTTGTAGGTTCATTGAACGTAGTAAATCCCAGAGCTAGACAAATGTTAGCTGCAAATATTGACTCTAATGCCACCTGCATTTTAAAAGGAAAGTTGATGTGGAGGGTGAGGGCAGGGGACATGCCTTCTTTGCATTTTAATTTTTTTGTGCTTAAGTTAATGTTATTTCCACTGTTCCCCTTCCCATCCCCGTTATTTTGTTAAGTTTGAAGTTGCTGCAGAAGTGTCAAGTGGAGTTCTTGGGAATTTAAGAGCTAGAGAGATAATAGATTTCCTTAAAGGGTAAAATTAAGTACAGTAGTCCCCCCTTTATCAAGTTTTACTTTCTGCATTTCAGTTATCCATGGTCAAACTGTGGCTCAAAAATATTAAATGGAAACTTTCAGAAATAAATAATTCATAAGTTTTAAATTGCACACCATTCTGAGTTCCATGATGAAATATTGTGCTGTCCTGCTCCATCCATCCCACCTGGGTGTGAAATCATCCCTTTGTCCAGCATATCCATGCTGTATCCACTGCCCACCTCAGTTGCCATAAATATCTATTCCCTAGAAGTGTAGCTGAGATAGGGAATTTGTATAAGTTCATTGTTGCAGGAGGGCTTGGAGAAGGGGAGTGAAGGAAGCAGGATAGAGAAGTGGGGAAGAGTTCAGTGAGGATAAAAGGGTTGGGGAACACTGAAGGAACTCTACTAAGATCACAAAACGTGAATTCTTAGTGTCCTAGGACTCACTTGATCCACATAGCATAGAGATTTTGTAGCTGAGGAAATGGTTTGATGATCAATAATTTTGTACATTAATACCTTTGCGTAAATCACCTACCTTTCCTTTAAGATTACATCAGCATAGTAATGTTCCTGGAGGAACCTATTGTTTACTGCATATCTGCCCAGAGTTCAAGTTATTTGTGCATATTGGGAATGTGTTTCTTTGACTTATATTCATCCTTATCTGCAAGTGAATGGAAGGTTTCCTTTGAAATATATGTTCTCTTGGTTTCAACTATCACCTTGATGTTGAAAACTTCCATGTCTTTGTCTTCCAATCTTCATCTTATCTGTCCTAACCAGCATCATTGTTGTATCTGTCCCACTATCCCACAGTGATTTGTACGTAGGAGGTGGTTCATAAATGTCACTCACACTTCAGTCAGGCTGGTCTCTTTATTACCATGACTATTGTGAAATTAAACACATGATTTAGACTTTAACTTTTTTTAAACACTAACTGGACAAGTTACTTAGCCTCTCAGCTTCAATTTCCTTATCTGCACTAGGAGTGATAAAGCCATAGTATAGGGACTTTGAAAAATTAAGTGGAAGTTCACTTTAAGCACATAAGCCTGAAAATTGATAAGCACCTGGTAAATGTCATTTCTTTCTCCTTTATGCTCAATGTTTAAAATATTTGAATTTATCTGTTGTGATTCCAATTTTTTAGGCCTATTGCTTAATTTGTCCTGTTTAGTTTTTACCATATTCATCACACATGATTCTGATAACCCAGAGTAAGAAGTTTTTTAAAAGTGTTGGAATACCACAAAACTAATATTATTTGCCTAATCCAATAGAACTTTCCTGACTATGATTCTCAATCAAGATTTCATTTTAAAAAATTGGAGGGGCCCTAGCCAGTTTGACTCAGTGGATAGAGTGTCGGCCTGCAGACCAAAGGGTCTGAGGTTCAATTCTAGTCAAGGCCATATATCTTGGTTGCAGGCTTCTCCCTGGCCCAGACCCTAGTTGGAGCTCATGCAGGAAGAAACCAATCAATGTGTTTCTCTCACATCACTGTTTCTCTTCCACTATCTCTAAAAGTCAATGAAAAAATATCATCTGGTGAGGATTAACAGCAACAACAACAAAATGCAGGGGAAAAGGGCAGATAACATAAAGTTGGCTATAATGATGGCTTTTAAAAAATAGATAAACTAAGATTTTTTTAGTAAAATTTATATCTGAAGGTTTACACTTGGGATGTCAAAAATGTTTCGTCTTTCATATTAAATTCATGAGCAGAGAACAACATTGAATAGCATAATATGCTTCTTTCCCCCAGTATTTCTTTTTTTTAAATTTGATTAAGGTATCACAAATTTGTCTTAACCCCTCATTCCAATCCCTTATCCCCCCAATCATACCACCCCCCCCCCTATTGTCATTGGTCACTGGATAGGCTCATATGTATGCACATAAGTCCTTTGGTTGATCTCTCCTTTTTATCCCCACCCTCCCTCTGAGGTCCAACAGTCTGACCCATGGCTCCTTATCTCTGGGTCTGTTCTTGTTCATCAGTCTATGTTGTTCACCATTTCCCCTAGATGAGTGAGATCATGTCCTACTGGAAATATACTTATAAGAATAAAATATGAGACAAGCAATAACCGTTATGCTGAAAGGCATATGAATCAGTCTGTAGTGAGTTTCTTTCTGGGTCCCCCAGTATTTCTGTGCATTTATGTTGTCTTAGGAGCTCTGGGAGACTCAGTGGCATAAGATAATGTTTCTTGTCTCCCAAATGGCCACCACATTTCTCAATACTGATGTGTAGTTTTTACTTCAGTCGATTACTTGTGAATTACTGTGAGTTTTGTGCATATGTCCTCGTTTGGTGTGTTTGCATTGTTCTAAAAAAATGCTTTCAGCTACATGGTAAGGGTAGAGGTACACTACATTTAGAGGGTAACTGAATATACTAAGTAGTTTGCATGCCTATATTGTCAAAAGAAGAGTGTGAAAAAAGACATAAGAGTAAATATAACCCAAAAGGTGAAAACTACCCACATGCCCATCAACTGATGAATGGCTAATCAAAATGTGGGGTATTATTCAGTCCTAAAAAGGAATGAAGTACTGATACATGGTATAATATGGATAAGCCTTGAAAACATGAGAAGTGGAAGAAGCCAGACTCAGAAGGCCACATATTATATGATGACATTTGTATGACATATCCAGAATCAACCAATCATAGAGACAACAAGAGAATGGAGGTTATATGGGGCTGGGGTGAGGATGGGGAGTTATATTTACTTAATACAGAGTTTCTGTTTGGGGTGATGAAAATTTTCTGGAAATTGCTAGTGATGATAATTGTGCAACATTGTCAGTATACTTAATCCTGTCTAGTTTAAAAATGGTAAATTTTATGTTATATGTATTTACCACAATTAAAAAAAAAGAATAAATGTTAAGGAGCTTGTAGGTCATTATAATAAGCCTCCTGTTTTTCTTTCTGCACAGGAGCCATGGATAACAGAGGCTTTCAGCAGGGGTGTTTCAATAGCTTCCAGAGCAGCTCCAGTGATGAAGACTTGGTGGACATACCAGGGACAGCTATGAATTTCTCCCTGAGAGATGATGTTCCTCCCTTAGATGGAGAAATAGAAGGTATCATTACCGCTGATGACAAATTATCTTTTTAAAATTATTTTTTAATGTATAAAGGATAACATTTATTTTCTGGTGCATAGTCCAATGAGTTTTAACCCATGCATAGATTCTGGTATTCACCACCATCAACAAGATACAGAATAGTGTAACATTGCTTTGTAGCCAGACCTCCATACTCCCAACCCCTGGTAACCACTGATTTATTCTCTTCCCTTATGGTTTTTCCTTTTCAAGAATGTCATATAAACCACAACTGGTGGGCTCAGTGGTTAAGGCATCCATCCAGCGACCAAAGAGTCATGGGTTCAGTTCTGGTCAAAGGCATGTACCTGTGTTGCAGTTTAATCCCTGGGGCTCAGATGAGGATTTTTTTTTTTTAATGGAGCTGCATAGTATGTTACCTTTCTTTATTTTTTTTTTAAAATATTTTATTGATTTCAGAGAGGAAGGGAGGAGAGAGAGATAGAAACATCAACGATGAGAGAGAATCATTGATCAGCTGCCTCCTACCTGCCCCCTACTGGGGATTGAGCCCGCAATCCGGGCATGTGCCCTGACCGGGAATTGAACCATGACCTCCTGGTTCATCGATCAATGCTCAACCACTGAGCCATGCTGGCCTGGCGTACGTTATCTTTGGAGACTGACCTCATTTACTCAGCTTAATGCCTGGGAGATTCATCCAATGTGTTCATTCATTTTTCTGGCTGAGTAGTATGGCATGGACTGGGATTGCTGGGTATGTTGAGCTTTATAAGAAACTGCCAAACCATTTTCCAGAGTGGCTGTACCATTTTGCATCTGAACTAAATATGTATGATAGTTCTATTTGTTCAACATCCTCAACAGCTTGGTATATTTTGTAATTATTTATCTTAGCCATTCTAATAGATATGTAGTGTTATCTCATCATGGCTTTAATTTAATATCCTTAATGGCTTATGATGTTGACCATCATTTTATGTGCTTATTTGCTAAACTTATATCCTCTTTGATGAAGTGTCTAAGTCCTTTCTCCTTTTTTTTATCATTGGATTTTTTTTTTTTTTTTGTATCTGGAATACATATATAAAATGAGAATTCCCCTCATCAATTCTTTGGCTACCCATTAACATCATTCTTTTTGATGGCTGCACACAATTTCATAGTATAGCTGTATCATAGTTTATTTACCCAAAATCTAATTGAAGTATATTTCAGTTGTTTCCAATGTTTTGCTATTACAAACAGTGCTGTAGTGAACAACTTTGTGTGTGTGTGAGTGTGTGAGTGTGTGTGTGCACACACAGATATCTTCTACATATATGAAAGTGTGTCTGTGCCATGAGTGTATAAGACTGCTTATTTCTCCACAACCTTACTGATGCTAAATATTATAATTATTTTTTTCATCTTTATATGTTATGATGATAAATAAATTCCTATTATTGATTAAAATTTTACCTTTTTAAATTAATGAGGTTGAGCATATTTTTATATTTATTAACCATTTAGATTTCTTTTTTCAAAGTTTTCTGCTTACACAATATTATTAATATTTTTGTCTAATGTAGGTTGAATATATTTTTCCTGTTTCTGGTTTGCTTTTGTTAACTTTATTTTTTAATTTACAAATACTCAGACAAGAGAAACAAAAGAAAAAAAATATACCAAGGGGACTACATCAAACTTAAAAGATTTTGCACACCAAAATCAATAAATAAATAGCCTACTAAACAGGAGAACATATTCGCCAATAATACATCTGATAAGGGGTTAATACCCAAAATTTATAAAGAACTCACACTACTCAACATCAAACAAAACAAAACAAAAACCCCACAACCCAAACAGTCCAATTAAAAAATGGGCAGAAGACCCGAATAGACAATTCTCCAGAGGACATATGGAAGGTCAATAGACATATGAAAAGATGCTCAATGTCATTAATTGTTAGAGAAATGCAAATTAAAACCACAATGAGCTATCACCTCATACCAGTCAGAACGGCTATCATAAGTAAATAAATCCATAAATGTTAAGTGTTGGTGAGAATGTGGAGAAAAGGAAACCCTTATGCACTGTTGGTGCAACCACTATGGAAAACAGTATGGAGGTTCCTCAAAAAATTAAAAATGGGACTGCATTATGACCCAGCAATTCCAATTCTAGGTATATACCTGAAGAAATCCAAAACATTAATTCAAAAGAATATATGCGTGCCTATGTTCATTGCAGCATTATGTACAATAGCCGACCTATGGAAGCAACCCAGACGCTCATCAATAGATGAGTGAATAAAAAAGCTGTGGTGCATATTTACGATGGAATATGACCCACTCATACAAAAGAATGAAATTTTACACTTTGCGACAGCATGAATGAACCTGGAGAGTGTTAAGCTCAGTGAAATAAGTCAGTCAAAAGAAAGACAAATACCATATGATTTCACTTACATGTGGAATCTAAAGAACAAATAAATGAACAAAATAAACAGAAACAGATTCATAGATACAGAGAACAGACTGATGGTTACCAGATGGGAGGGGGTTGGGGCACTGGGTGGAAAAAGTGAAGGGATTAAGAAGTACAAATTGGTAATTACAGAATAGTTACGGGGATGTAAAGTACAGCATTGGGAATATACTAGTCAATAATATTGTAATAACTATGTATAGTGCCTGGTGGGTACTGGACATATTGTGGGGTGGGGGGGGGATACTTTGTAAGTTGTATAATGCCCAATCACTGGATTATACACCTATAGCCAATATTATATTGTATGTCAACTGTAATAAAAAATAAAAATTATTTAAAAAGAAATAAAATAATCTATCTACCATGAACCAAAAAAATCTACACATATTTTAAAATTTTATATACTAGGCATATCACCCTTTTCTTTGGTCACTTCTGAGTTCCTTGTTGTAATTAGAAAAGACTTGAATTACTTTAAGATTTAATTTGTATAATTACTTAAAACTACTCTCTGTTTTTTTTTTTTTGTTTTTTTTTTTTTGAAACTGGTTGGAATTGCCATTCTCAAAGGGAACCAGAAACTACTGTCAGAATTCATTATTTAGCAAATTTGTACTAAGAACATATGTTATTGTAGATTCTTTGCAAGGTTTGGCAATTAGCAAGGCTTTAAGAAACCATCCCTGCTTTATTTCTAGCTAGCTAAACAGACCCCTAAGGACTTATGATAGTACCTACCTTTTAGAGTAGTTTTACATGATTAAATGAGATGATAAAATATACAGTACTTATAACTGTGACTCGCATTGAGTTAATGCAAAATAAAATATTACTCTTATTATTTTTAAATTTCTATTATAAACCTCTAAGATATCTCTTATAAGAACTTAGAAGAAGCATTCTGGGTTTGGTTTTGTTTTGTTTTGTGTGTGTGTGTGTGCGTGTATGTGTGTGTGTGTGTGTCTGTCTGTGGAAGATTTAAAAATATTTTATGTATTTAAAAATGGAATTGTAAGATTAGTAATATGGTAGGAAGAAGAGCATTCTAGGCAGAAAGCAAGATTTTACAGGGATATAAGTAGCCGCAATATTCAGAGATTTGAAAAGGGCAGAATATAAGGCCAAACAAATAAGTTAGTTGGGGCCTTGAATGGCATGCTAAGAAGTTTGAATTAACTTCACTGTCATTGTGAGGACAAACTCCTCCATCCATTCATTCAACAAATATTTTTTGAGCACCTATATGAACCAGGCACTATTGTAGGCACTAGGGATACAGTGGTGGAATTTATTTAGACAAAATCTGACCTAGATCTAGTTAGGTAAATCAGTAAACAAACAGATTACCGGTAGCTAGTTAACTACCCATTGTGATAAGTAGTACTAGAATGAAAATAAACAGAATGACAATAGAAAACTGATGAATAACACTAGTTAGAAAGGTATGAAAACTGCCAGCCAGTCAGGTTTCACTTATAATGGAATCTAATGACAAAACAAAGTAAGAAACAAACAGAAAGAGACTCATAGATACAGAGAACAGACTGACAGCTGTCACAGGGGAGGGGAACTGGGGGTTGGGTGAAAAAGGTGAAAGGATTAAGCAAAAACAGACAAACTCATAGAACAGTATGGTGATTGCCAGAGGGAAAGGGGATGGGGGAGGCAGAGGTGGGTAAAAGGGGAAAATGGTGGTGGAAGGATACTTGACTTAGGGTGTTGAACACACAATACAATATACTGATGATGTATTTTAGAATTGTATACCTGAAACCTTTATAATTTTATTAACCAGGTAATCCCAATAAATTCAATAAAAATAAAAATAGGAAGGAAAAAACCCACTACCCTGCAGGTTCAAAAGGATAATAAGAAATTTGCCTGGTAAAGATATTTCAGGAAAACTACAGAAGAGAACCCCTGCATTTAAAATTCACAAAAGAAAGGTACTCATGATTTGGTATTGAGTGATTTTTCATATTTGCCTACTTCTAAAAAGGGACAAATGTTTGTGTGTCACTTCCACTTATATATAGTTAGAACCACAGTGAGTCAGTTATAACAATTACTGTCTCTAGTAAAGTGGTCAGTTAGGTTTTCCATAAACTTAAACTGGCTACCTCTCCTTAAGCCTTCTGGCTAACCCAGAGTAGTTTAGCTTAGTTATATCAGCATTGCTTCTTCTTTTATTGTGGGGGGAGGGGTTTAATCCTCACAGGAGGACATTTTTCCATTGATTTTTTTTTTTTTTTAGAGATTGTAAAAGAGAGAGAAACATTGATGTGAGAGAAACACATAGATTGGTTTACCTCCTGCATGTGCCCTGTCCAAGGCCCAGGCCAGGGAGGACCCTGTAACCAAGGTACATGCCCTTGACTAGAATCAAACCCGGGACCCTTTGGTCCACAAGCTGAGGCTCTATCCATTGAGCCAAACCGGCTAGGGCAGCATTGCTTCTAATAGAAAATGATTTCATATAGCATTTGGATCACCAAACTACTTTCTGTGTGTTCACTGTGTTCTCAGTAGGTGATTAGGGC